CCTGTACACCACCACAAATGAGCAAGCCCCCCGCCCGCCCGCCAGCGTGTCAGGCCGCTCGCCCGCCTGCCCGCCCTCCTGCCGGCCCACGCCCTTGTCCCCCCCAGCCGACCATGCCCTCGCCGTCCCACCCACGCGCCCTGCGGTGCGTCCGTGCCCTGGCCTGTTCATCCGCCCGCCTGCCGCCTTCTCGCTTGCCGTCTGCCTGCCTCTCTGCCCCCACGTGTCCGTCCTGGCTGCTCACCCGTATCCAGGCATGTCCACCAGGTACCAGCTGTCATTGATTATGAAGTGGTTGATGCACTGGGTCTTGCCTGCACGTGGGAGGGCGGGGTGATGCAGACGACGGGCAGAGGGCACAGCGCTTGGGGAAATGAGAGCTGACCTTGGCGCAGTGCTGAGGGCCGACGCAAATACAGGCCTATCAGGCGCACGTCACCTCAGCCAGCGACCGCGACGCGCACCCCCGCCGGAGGCCGCCGGGGCAGTGGCCTCACGCAAGTGCAGCCGCAACCGGCCGTTTGCGGCGGCCCGGACCCGCGGCTGCCGACCGGAGGCGCCGCCGCCACCCACCCGGCTCTTTGGAGACCTGCGCCAGGGCCTTCCGCCCGGTCAGCATGTTGATGAGGCTCGACTTGCCGACGTTCGAGCGCCCGATGACGGCAAACTCTGGTGGGCCCTCCTTGGGGCACTGCGAGATCTCCACGCTGCTCTTCACAAACTCAGCGGTGCGGACGCGCACGTTGGTGGGCACCGGCAGGTCGAGCTGCACGGTGGGGAACGCCTCCGCGTCGCCCGCGTCGCGCGCGTCTGCGCTGCCGTCGTCGCGCCAGGCGTGTGCGTCATTTTCCTGCAAAGCTCCCTCGCTGCTGAGAAGAGCATCGCTCTCGCTATAATCTTCGTCCTCTTCTGCTGCCGCCGCCGCTGCCGCCGCCGCTGGTGCTGCTGCGTGTCGCCCGCGGTGTGGCTGGCCAAACGATACAACGCCGCCGCCTTTGCTGGGAGGCGGCGGGGCCCGCCGTCTGCGCCCGCCGGTGGGGGTGTTTCTGCTGCTGGATGCGCATGCCGCTGCGCTGCTACTGAAGGCATGCCACGCGCAGGGCAACGCCCAAAGCGGGGCGATGCGCTGAAGCTGGGGAGCAAGGCCGCCTGGTGCAGCTGGTGAACGCGCTGCTGCAGCAGGAGCCGCCGCTACTGCATGGCGCCGAATGCCACACCAGGCGCTCCCAGATGCGATACGGCAGCCATCATGTGACAGGAAACCTCTCCCTAGCACCGCCCTGTGCAGGCTACCGCGGAGCATCGCGTCAGAGTCCGACAGTGGCACGCAGAGATCGGATGCGATTCAAAAATGCATGGTGCCTTTATACATAGGCAATACACGCCAAAAATATTCAGATGGAGGGTGTGTTGTGCAAGCCGCACTACCTGTAGCACCGGGACCGATGGCGAGTGCGGGGTGACGCTGACCAGCTGGTGCCGCCTGCCAATGAGCGCAACTTTGACTAATGGTAACTTACAGGCTTAGTGGAACGGGTATGGGCGGGATACCCCACTCGCTTTGAGCACACTGCTGCTTGCCACATCTGCCGTGTGCGGTGTCTACGGTGGTGACCACTCTGGGCGCCCCACGGTAATCGAACCCTCGTCAATGCATGCATGCGACAACGGAATTTCGTCTGTAACTTACAGGCGCAGGCTTTTTTGCATGCGTCGTTCAATTGGTGGGGCTGCGTGTAAGGTGCATGCAGTACGGTATTGCTTCGTAGCGTGGCCAGACCCCTGCTGGCCGAGCTGTGTGGCCGCCAGCAGGAATGCATGGCATGCCGCATACATGGTCGATGTCAGTTAAGTATCAGTTATTAGTTCGACTTCACAAGACAACACCGCGATGCTTCAGCATCTGAACACATCGTGGTGTGCTCCCTGCGCACACCCCCTTTCTCTGCACCGCACGGCGCAATGCAAGGGCTGCAAACCAAGCCGCCGCACCTGCGTGGCACACACCTCGTCATTCCAGCCTCCCTTTCACGCGCATCTTGTCTGCATGCGTCTTACAAACGCAAGTGCACATACCACAGCCAAACAGCCCCAGCCTGCTGTGTCCTCTCGCATGTCCCTACCCGCTGGTCGTTATGAGCTGATGACAGAACGGACTCCTATAACCTCATTCATATTCAGTAAAGCTGCCCATGGGCGCAGGCGTGCGCATGAGTGCCTCTACAAAAGGGGGGTGATGGCTGGTGGATGCATGCGCGTCGCACTTTCTTACAGTACAGGTTCAAGTCATGGCAACGTTTTTGGAGGATGGCGGCAATGAGTTTGAGATTCACAGTCTGACAAGTGGTTTTGATCCCAGAGCAACGGCCATGCACTGTATGAGAGCAGGGCCTGGCGCATCAGTGCTCGAGTACAGTGGCACTCGGCACCCAGTGCTCGCTCACGCCATTGATGCAAGACTCAAGAGCCACCGTTCACAGTGAATTTTCGAATGCATGTGATTCTTCACCATTACTTTGACCATGCAGCAAGCTTATTTCGCTCTCAGCAAGTCAAAGTGAACGAAGTGATCTGTGGCGCTAGTTTGGGGCAGCGCGCCCTCCGTTTGTCTCCCTTGAATTGTCGAATACATCTGATCGAAGGGGGCACAAACAGTGACGATGACCGTCCTGCGTGCCCCTGCGGCGCCGCACGCAGACAGCAGCGGCGCATCTGCTTGCATGGCATTTGCCGACAACGCAACAACAGAGCGTGACGGCCTGGCGCACCTGCCAACCGCACTGCTGCATGGCATCGTGGAGCTGTGCTGGGTACAGACCGGCGCCCCAACCCTGCTGGCACTCAGCTGCACGTGCAAGTCGCTGCTGGTCGCGTGCAATGTGGCCCTCGCAGCCCAGCGCACCCTCATGCCAGCGGCGACAGTTGCGCTGCGCTGCGCGCCGCCGCCAGGCGAGGGTTGCGCGGGCGTGGTGATGGGACGGCTGCTGACAAGATTGCAGATGGTAACCGTCATCGACCTGTCTGGCCTTCATTTCTGGGTGTATGACTCAGCACTTGTGGTGAGCGCCAAGCAGGGTGCTATCTGCCATTGCGGCATGCGTGCTCCATGAGGACAGACAGATGGTAGCTAGCTTGAGGAGGTTGAAGGAAAAAGTGGGATGTTTGATGAAGCAAGGCTTTTGCATGCTCTGCACTCCCTAACTTGTAGTGCGCACCCCCCCCTGCTTTTCTGCCCACCACCCTCGATGCTGGGCCAAGGCCATTGGTGCGTCATGCCCTCAGCTAGAAGCCCTGCGCCTAGATCACTGCCAGAATATCACTGGAGAGGGTCTGCTGGCGATGTCATCGATGGGACGGCTGGCGCGACTGCGGGAGCTCAGCATAAACCCGTGCGGCGACGTCGGGCAGGGCGGATTCCTGGCCTGCCTGCACGCGCTGCGCACGCTGCGTGCCTCTTACTGCCGTTCGCTGACGGGCGACCAGGTGGGGTTAGAGGCAATGCGAAGTCCGGGGGAAGTCCGTCTGTATTGCTAAGATCATACCATCAGAGCGGGGGTTGTAGGGGTGAGCGTTTTGGGGAATGACACGCCATAGGGGGGTCATGCACCATGAGGAGGTGGTGTGTCAAGCAAGCACACTGTTTGTGCATGAGGGTTGATGCGACAGCTCGTGGTGATGCTGCCAATCAACCTCGCCAAGCGGCACCCCCTTGCTGGCTATGCTCCAGGTGCTGGCTGTGGCAGCGCGCCTCGAGTGCCTAGACCTGACCGGCTGCGACGCGGTGGGGGACGAGGTCTGTGGCGGCCTGCCGACTGTCCGCATCCTCAACCTGTCGTTTGTCCCAATCACTGACAGCGGCCTCTGGCGCCTGGCTGCCGGCAGCCCGCAGCTCGAGGCGCTTTCGCTGGCGCGGCGCAGCAACAACCTGTGGGGGGTGGGGCTGTACACGGACCAGGGGATTGCAAAGCTGCGCCGCCAGCTGCCACGGCTAAATATCAAGTACACTATGTGAAATGAGCCTCTCAACTCGCGCTGGGTGCAGGTTTGCGATGGAGGTCGTATGGCAGCCCGCATTTATATATGGCAGCAACTGTGTTTGTGAATCTGTGACGCTGGACAAGACCATGAAGAGAAATGCGGTGTGTGTCATTCTATGAGCGTTTACCCCATGCAGTCCCGTATTCAGCTTGTTTGCCGCGGTGCGTCTGTCAAGCCGAGACAAAGGATTACAGTGATGAGGCCCCGGTAATCAAGGTGGTCATTCGAGCCGCCTGGGAGAAACTCTTGGGTACTGACTCCTACATTGATCAATGCATCTTTTGGGAGTATTCAAGCCGCCAGCGCGAACACTCCATGGCAATCCACCTACTTGGTTGCCTTGCAGTCCTCCTGGCTTTCCTCGCTTTGCTCGACAGCGTGCATGTCAAAGGATGTGTGGCTGTAACACAAACAACTTTGCAACGCGCTCATTGGGTTTGGGTCAGTGGAGGGTGCTTCTTCCCTCCAAGGGGCCGTGGAATTGGGGGCAACAAAGCCAGTGGCAGGCATCAAGAGGACTGCAGCAGAAGATCAATAACATCACATACACAAACACGATTGATTGGGTTGGCTCAGTCGATGATGGAAATGATGAAGCCACACAAGGCACCAATAGAAGCGAGGACACCCACAAAGCCCCTGAACCCCCCCTGCCCCTGTAGCAGCAGCCAAAGGCCGAGAGGGCTGGCCCCAGCTGCGCAAGCAGCCGCCCACATTAGTGTCGAAGCGACCACAAAAGCGCGGGGGGCTGCCGCAAGTGTAACGGCAGCCACCCGCGCCAGCGGAGAGATCCGGCAGGCGTACCCCGCAGGACACCTGGCTGGGCACATGCCAGGTGGCACCCTGCGTTCCTGCATGCAGCTGGGTCACTCCAGGGACTGCCAAGCGGCGTCCACGAGCTCCTTGGTGCGCGCCCGCTGGTCCTCCAGCAGTATGGACCGCATGAGCTCGTCGGCGGCACGCCGCTGCTCCTGCGTCAGTTGCTGCTGCTGTTGCTGCTGCTGCTGCCGCTGCAGCTCTTGCTGCTCCTGCTGCTGGCGCAGCTGGGCAACGGCACGGCGCTCTGCGGCGCGGGCGGGCTGGTAAATTTCCTGGCAGTCCCGGCCAGCGACCCCGCGGATACCTGCTTGATGCAAGAGTAAGTTGATGGGACTTGGAGGCGGGAAATTAACTCAGCGATGCTGTGCCTGCCTTGCTTTGCCGCACCAACAGGTGCCCCGTCGACGGCAGCAACGGCGCCCTGGCGGTCCTGCACCTGCGCCGCTGCTCATGGTGGCTGGGACGCAAGAACATAAGACGTGCACTTTGGCGGCCCACCTGTGTCGTACGGCGATCCCTCGTCACCACATCCGCTCCATGGCAAGAAGGCCAAGGTGGTCGCTGCTGCAGCGGCGACGTGCAGGACTGCGGTCGATGCTAAGCCCGCTTCCGCTGCCACGGAGCGTATCCGATCGTATCGCCGGTGTATGTGCGATGTTTTTGAAGACAACCGCGGCACATTGTGCTGTGCTGCCCGCTGGAGATCGATCGATCGTGTGAGCAGCATGGCAGTTTTGAGCTATCTGCGTTTGAATAACCGATACAGAAATTGTGATTCGACTGTAGACAACACTTACTCGAAGCCTTTTGCAGCTATGCTGCAACACAGGGCAGCGGGCTCCGTGAGGAGGGGAGCGCCAGCCCGTGGGCTCGGCAATGGCAACAAGTTTTTATATGGAGCGCGCCTGTCTGGTGGAGGGCTCCGGGTGAGCAGGGGTGCTGTTGCGTGTGTGCCGCGGTCTAGTGACACCCCGATAGTGATTGCTTGACGCGTTTGTGCACACGGCATGCATCTATTACAGGTGGTGAAGTGTCTGGTGACATCCCGGGACGAGCCGGCGGCCCCCGGCGATGGCGTCGCGCAGCGTCGCGCCGCGCAGGTATCATGGGAGGTCTTCGCAGCCTGCATGCCTGATGATTTGCTCCTGATTGATCCAGATTTGCGCCTTCGATTGGCTCATATGCGAGACTTGCTGCTGCTCATGCAGCGCGGGCCCTGGCGCGGCTGCTGATGTCGACGCGGCGCTGTTGCAGCCTCGGACCCTGCGCCCTGCATCTCAGTGGGGCAGATGACCCGGCCACGGTTGCGATGGCGGCCTCACCGCTCCAAACGCACCGTGGTTTGTGCCCTGCACTTCACGCAGGCTGCCCTGCTGGTGCCACTCTTCCTGACGGCTGTGTGGGGAGACCAGCCCGCACATGCCGCCCGCGGCCGGCGCCAGGTGCCAAGCACTCGTTTTTTGAGGGGGGATCAGCGGCGCCGCCACGCAGCTGCGCAACCGCCGCGCCCCGGCCCGCTCGCAGGCTTGACTCGGGATCGTACATGATCCGCAGCCGACACAGGGCGCGGCCGCTTCCATGCAAGATCCCCGCCGCTGCCTCTCCCTCCCGAGCGCCCCTCCTCATCCATGCGCGCCTCACTCACGCACTGCACAGGCCATGGAGGCGCAGGTCACCCAGGAGGCCCAAATAATACAT